CTGTCTTGGCCAGGACGCTCTTGTAAAAGAGATTCTTAATGTCAATGAGACTTTTCCTGGTTGCATAACATTTTTAAAATAAAAACCACAAGACACTGATATATATATATATATATATATATATATATATATATATATATATATATATTTCCTCTTTGTTGATTCGCATCAACCACACAAACATGAAGGAACCCCCGAAGGCCCCAACCATAACTGGGCCCGCAGGAGCTGGCCGCGTGCCCCCGACCACCCCACACACGTGGTCTGCGGGGCTGCTGGCAATATATTTTAATTGTTTGATCAAAATTATTGATAGATACAATTCAGGATATTGGTAGGGGCATTTCCTGAGCGTCCTTACTAAATTCAATGCTCCTGGCTCAGGCTTGCCATAATATTCTTTAGTACTTTGACCATTCTTGTTTTATTCTGTGTGTCTGCAGTAACTTGTCTGTAAAAGTATAATAGTGTAAATGTAAAAAAAAAAAAAGGGAATATATAAATGTTTCTTGCTATATCTGTAGTGAAATGTAAATGTTTAGTTTTTCTTATAGAATGTAAAAAAAAAGAAGCTAAAAGCTGCACACTTCCACTTCTGTTGTCCTCTAGTACTTTCAGAAAATCATCCCTCATCAATTGGACAGCGGACCAGACAAAGTGATCCAGGTCGCCTATCAAGTCAAGTACAATGCCAAGAAGATGAAAAAGTGATTGTTCTTTCAGTGAAATATAATCTGAATCTGATTTCTCTGAGAGTAGCTCTGATTCGGTGGTTATTTGAGAGTGGGTATTTTGTATGTTTGTAGGTTAGAGAAGGAGTACACTACTATAAAAACCAAGGAAATGGAGGAACAGGTGGAGATAAAGGTGAGATTACTTTGATCTTGTGAAGTATATTTCTGATGTACATGCTATTTTTCTGATGTGTTGATTCTGATCAATAACGATGCATAAGAGTCATAAAACGTAATTCTTTTACTTATATCGTATAGCTTCACGTATAACTATGGCACTCCCCCTTGATTACGTCTGAAGTGTTTCCATCAGTGTTTTGTGCAACTTTACAAAAAAAAAGTTGTTAACCATATTGATAAATAAATATTAAATATGTAGAAAATAGTGTATAAATATGTAGATATGTAGAAAATAGTATATGTAGAAAATATGTAGAAAATAGTATATAAAATAGTGAAAATATTAAATATGTAGAAAATCAGCCTATTGGGAAAGCATAAGGTCCAGTGTGCTGCTGAGTTCTGCGTTTTGGTTCCCTAGAAACAAATTATACAATTAGTGTCCCAAAACCCCCTCTTTAACCCAAACACGAAATCTGCTTGTCCCAGGCACCCCGAGTTTCTGATATTTCCACCCCTGTTACATCCCTGTCAAGTACTCCTTCCAGTCTCTCCATGACTTTGTCTAAAACCACAAACTGCAATACTACATCCTCTAGACTCCGTATTACGTACTTTTAGACTATGGTTGGACTCGTACCAACAGTTTTTCTCTTTTTGCAGAGACTTCGGACCGAGAACAGGCTGCTGAAGCAGAGGATAGACACTCTGGAGAAAGTGAGTCTCAGCTGGATGCTTAATGAAAAGGGTTGAGCCAAGCTCTGTCCATCAAACCAATTTTACATCAGTCAATTACAGTATATAGTCATGATTACTATCATCATCATGATCGATTCCTACATGACCTCATCTCTAACTGATGACTCATGAGTCATGCTGACCATCACATGAGCTCACGTATACTAACTTGGCTGTGTACCTGCGAATAACCGTAGCTGCTGACTGATTTAGAGTTATCAGTACAGATAAGCTAATGTGTATAACAGTGAAATATTTGTTATATGGGGCTTTTGGTATGTGGTAATTGTGCTACGTGGAACAGGTAAGACGACTCCTGGCTGCATCACTAACTGTACGGCTGCACAGGAAACCTGGCGGGTTGTGTACAAACTAGTCTATGACATGGTCTGTGAATACAGCATGCACTCACACTGTTGCATGCTGGATCGTTGACTGCTCGACACGTGTATTCTGCCACGCATGGTGAAAGTGGCGACGAATCATTCATGCTGGTCCATGAGTGAAAAAGGAAATGCATATCACCTCAACTCCCCTTCTGTTCCTCTGAAAGTCCTGCATGAGATGCTTGTTAACACGAGTACTGACCAAAACTACACAAAGGATGCCCCCGTATCGAATTTAATCGCTTGGATAGATTAAGCAGTCGTAAAAGAGCATGGCACTCACCTAGTATTCACTGCTTCCTGCTGCTTCTTTTCTGCTTGCACTGTTTTCAGCCTCACACTTTTTATCGGTTGCTGTAGGACCACAGTTTTGGTTTAGTCACCACTGTCATGCTTTCACACTCATATCGCTTCATCCACACTGTTGTTTTTCTATCCCACCTTACTCAGGCTGTTTGAAACGGGCTCTAGTGTCTCCCATACATTTGCTTTGTTATATTTCTTTCATAAAACTTGTGGGATAGAAAAAGAACAGTTTTCTGTGTAAAATAATTTTTATTTATTTATTTCATTTTTAATTTTTTTTTACCTGTTGTAATACCTTTTGGTCTTTCTCTATGCCTTTCTTTATGGATTTTCTCTTTGTAGGAAAGTGCTTCCTTGGCAGATAGATTGATCCAGGTATAATCTACACTCTTCTCACCACTGCCACTCTTCTCTCCTTTCTGATGTCTGTTTTTAAACGGAAGAAAATTTTCAGCCTTGATTTTTTATTATTTATTTTTTTTAAAAAAACCATTTCCACTTACTTGGACAAACAGTGGGATCTGAATGTTTGAGTCAATTGTAGAATTTTGCACGAGCTAAAATGAAAGTTAGACACAAATGAAACTATTGCATGACTTTCCAACATCCCAATCAGTTCCAAGTCCAAGTAAAGGGAAAGATAAGTTAAGCAGACCTCTGAGCGTACCCTATCCTCTATAGCTCTTCTGGCTTCGCATGTTTGAGTATACAATAAACGTCAATTATATTAACCAAATGATAGTTGCTTATATCTTGACAATTCAGAAAGAAAAGGATTACTGGTTGGTATTAAACCGAAATTTGGTGGCTGATAAAGCCAGCTTACTTGCCATATATTTTGTTTAAAAAAAAAAGATAAATAAATAATTAATACATGAAATCAAATTGAGATCGATCACTTATACAAAAGCTGCTAACAGCATGATGATACTTCAGAGTTCCATATCTGGCTTAATTTAATAACCTCCTCATCGCTCCATACTTGGTTCACCTCGTCTGTTGTCCCTGATCGATTGCGTCAGGGTCAGGTGACCCGAGCCCAGGAAGCCGAGGAGAATTACCTGGTCAAGCGGGAGCTGGCCACGGTGAAACAGCAGAGCGAGGAGGTCAGCGCACAGCTCGAGCAGGCCCAAAGCACCATCAGAGAGCTCCAACAGCAGCAGCAGCCCTCTGCGGTAAGGACAGTGCACAGACAGCGCCCCCTCCTGGATGGGAGGACTGCATCTGAGCCTGCTGTTCACCGAAAAGCGAGGATACACTATGTGGAAAGCATTCAGAGCTCATTTTAAACATTCTGCGGCATGTTACACAGCCATACCTAGCATCTCAGTCTGGCATTGCCAGATGTAGGGATTAGGAGATTTTATTTGACTGTAGCTGCTCTGCTACATACTGTTAGCATACTTGGTTTTGTTAAGCAGTGTCATGAATATGTATGAGCTGACAGATAACACTGCTGGCGTGAGCTGTCGGGATATAGATCATGCATGTTTGCAGAATTATATCTCATCATTTATTTACATAACACAGTCTTACGTGGTGTTGTCGAAGTGCTGTTTTCCATCACATTGTTTATTTATGACTCGGGAATGGGTGTAAAGTACTGATCTTTTCTGCAGTTGAGGCCACAAGGAATTAGTATCAGTTCCTGAGCGATGTTTTTCTTGCAGCTGAATGCGGTAGTGGATATGGTTGTGTTGGTTATTGTTATACCATCATGCAACTGTGTTCAGCATTGTGAAAGTGAAACTCTCCCATATAGCCCTGGGTTTTTCCTCTCTGTGCCTGTAGAAGGGGAACCCGCGCTACTCTGAAGAGACCCTCCTGCAGTTGGAAAGAGAGCTTGTCCAGGCTCGACTCAAAGAGGCTGAGTCTCAGTGCGCCCTCAAAGAGATGCAGGACAAAATCCTTGACATGGAGAAGGTTTGTTCATTTCCCAGACCACGAAGCTAGTTCATTGCTCTTCATGCCAAGACAAGCTACATACTCTTTCCCGAAGCGAGTTTATTGATGCAACTGTTTTTAATTCAACTGTATTTGCGTGCTACAGAGGAACATGTCACTGCCAGATGAGAGTAACGTGGTGCGTCTTCAGGAGGAGCTGATTGCTGTAAAGATAAGGGAGGCCGAGGCTCTGACAGGCCTCAAGGAGCTGAGACAGCAAGTCAGAGATCTGGAGGAGCATTGGCAGGTATAAACACACACACACGCACACAAACACCTACTTCCAGGTACTTTCATTTTCCACCTCAGCCAAGCCGTTGTGATTTTTTATTTTTTTTTGGTTACACGTTTTTTTGCAATGTGCAAATTCAAAATGCGGAAACACAAGCTAGTGGAAATTAGTTTGATTGGATGTTATGTGGAGAAATCCTGTTTGACAGAGTGGTTTGCTCTGCAGAGGCACTTGGCACGGACAGCTGGCCGCTGGAAGGACAGTCCACGGAAGAACTCGGCAAATGAACTCCAGGATGAGCTAATGAGCGTGAGACTACGAGAGGCAGAGGCCCAAGCTGAGCTCCGCGAGACCAGGCAGAGACTGCTGGAACTGGAGACACAGGTCTCACTCTCTCTCTGTTTTTATCTGTAATTATCTTAAAATCTATTTATGCAGGCATGATTGTCATTCCTCTCATTATTAGAGAGAGATGTAATTTTAAGAATGAAATGTAATTCTTCCAGTGTAGGTCAGTGTATACATTATAACAGTCTATGTGCCCAGCTAGCTCAGTCAGTAGAACATGAGACTCTTAATCTCAGGATGGTGGGTTTGAGCCCCACGCTGGGCACCAAACCCAGCCACTGGGGTAGCACAAGCTCTAGTGCACTCTCAGTGCCGGGCCCAATCCTGGATGGAAAAAAAGGCAGGGTTGCATCAGGAAGGGCATCCTGGGTAAAACCTGTTTCAAATCAAATATGCTGTATCATAAACCAAATTTCCATAATAGCTGACTTGGAAAATATTACGTCTCTCCTGAAGTGTCTCTCGTGTGGAAGGTGACTGAGTACTGTGGGTAGAGTAGCAGAGTGAAGTGATGTGTAATGAAATGGCCATCAGATTGAATATCTCCTGACATTTTGTCTCGTATTAAACCGGAAGAATTTTTTTCGTGTAATTATTGAGGCCTCTGCGTTGATTTGTGTGTGTTATAAGGGTTACAGCAAACATCTTTGTGTGGGTTGAATTTTTCCAGGAAAAGGCCTTAGAAGTTTAATTACATGGCCACTAGAGGGCCACAGAGGTCAAGCTTTAGCTGAAAAGACCACACCAATTTTTCACTCTACTCGTTAGCTACTGTATCTGTAGCAGCTTTTCACTTACCACAGGCAAGAATTTCTCTCATACTAAGAAAAGAAAGTCTATATTGGCAATCTAATGGCTCCTGTTTGGGCTGTAGGTACACACTTATGTGAAATGTATGTATTTGTCGAGCACTTTCATAAATTCTTCAGTCAAAGACATTAATAGATGAATAAATTAATCTCTAAATCTATATAATTAGTCCTTTTGCAGGTGTGAGACTGTAGAATTTATAGTTCTGCATTATATTCTGCCTGATTATGCATGGAACATCTTAATGGAACCAGAACATCTTAATGGAAAATGAATAAGTAACTGGAATAGCTTTTTTTTTTTTATCATATTGCTCCAGTTCTAACCTTACTAACAGTGCTTGACTAACAGTATATAAGAATAGCTTTAAGGAGACTTTCTCTTATGTCTGTCTCTTCCTCAAACATTTGTTAGCATATTGGGTGTATTTTTGCATTCGCTTTATATGATCACCTTTATAAAAGCCCCAACTGCTGCCCTTACACTTCCGCTGTGTGTGTTTTTGAGGTTTCTGTTGTTCCATAAGTAACATTATGACATCATGACCATGCTGATCATTATTATGCCACAGATGCTGTATAGTAGAGATGGGGTTTAAAAAGCAGTGGAATTTTATGTTTTAACAGTGGTAATTGAATCACTTTGATACAAGATCAGTGGGGGTTTCATTCTTTTTAATAATAGCCATAATATATATATATATATATATATATATATATATATATATATATATATATATATATATATATATATATATAAATAAAATATTTTAGATATGTGTGTATATAATATATTATATTTTACTATTGGCACTGATAACTCTTAATGGTTTATCCAGGAATTAATATTATTATAATCTCTAATACTGGGCATATGTTGTGATTAATATTAAGTGAAACTTCCCATTTGTCTTGACTAATCCTAGTTGTAGTAGATTCCGTATTTCTGTTATAAAATATGTTGTCATGACTGTATTTGGTGATTTCACGTTTTCCTCTCGCAGGAGGAGCTGCCATTTCTTTTTCTGTATCTCTCTATGTGTAGACATTGATGTTACCTGGGTGTCCCCCATAAACGTTGTATTCCTGGCACTGTCCGTAGTAAAGCATAGTATTAAATGGGGAAAAATCAATAGCAAAAATAGTTAATACCTGAATAAACAACAATTTAGTCTTCCATTGAAATCACTTCAGAAAGACCTCAGGATGAGCTGTGAAAATGCAGTTCTAGGGCATTGCCGTCATCAATCAGTACTGCACTGTGTTCTTAGTACTTACTCCATCATGGTCAGAAGCTTGATATTTGAACTGATGACCTGCATCTAAGCACCATCTTTAAACTTTCTATCTTTGTAGTTCCTTTTTTTCAGCTTTTAGATCCCCTCTAAAATGAAGTACAACCGGATGGGGAAAGCATGAGGGATGCGTCAAAGTCTACACTGTCATTTTTGGTGTTTTGTTTACCTACAGAACCAAATCCATAGCAACCAGTTGCGGCGGGCTGAGCAAGAGACGCGCAGTTTGCATGATCGTTTGCAGATTTTGAGCACACAGAATAAAATGCTCCACTCGGAGCTGCAGGAGTCCAAACGCAAGCAGGCAGAGATTGAGTGTAAGGTAAGGACAACACCCTTCAACTTTGGTCCTTCACACCATCTGAGAGATTGTGAAAATCTTGTAGTGTGATGTAGAAGGAAAAAATAAAGAGTCTTGGAGGTATTTTCTGCAACACTTGAACCTAGTCATCAGACCTTTGTATCTGCACATTTATCAAAAGTCATGCTATTTCATCATTTATGTTCACGATCATATCCACGGTCACAATCAGTAAATCCAGTCATGTAAAGAGGAACTAGTAGGTTCTGTTTTCACCTTCTGTAGAAGAAAGATAATCCCCCTCCCTCTCTCATCTATCTCTTTTTTTTCCTCTCTGTCTCTGTCAGAATAAAGAGGAGGTGATGGCAGTGAGATTAAGAGAGGCCGATAACATGGCTGCCATGGCTGAACTCCAGCAGCAGATCTCTGAATTGGAGATTCAGGTAAAACCTAGAGTTGCAACTCCCATCATTGTGCTGTTATAGGCAGCTAATCAATGACACAGTGGTGTGACGCAGCTGGACACAAAGCCTGAGTTGCTTTGAACACCCCGAAGTGATTTTTTTCCTCTTATACCACAGCAGTTTTTCATTGATTAAAATCTTAAATTTATTAATGAACGATTTGAACCCTTTGTTGTACCATTTAATGATGTTGAATATCCATGAGACAAGTTAGTTCCAGTTATCACTTACCTTCATCATTCGTTCCATCTTTTTTCCCCCTCTCTTATGACATTAATTAGTCAAAAAAGCAAAACAAACAAGCCAAGAATATTGCGTGTCATTTTACAGCGAAAGAGGACAGTGCAAAGTCCTCTGTCCCCATGGCTGAAAACTTACTGTTACTGACACTGGAGAATGTTAAATAAACATTTCCTTACAGAAACCTTCAACATAACAACGATTAATGTATTATAGGGAGCGTATAAATATAAACCTTCTGACCAATATGAATCAAGAATTCAGTAGCACTGTGGCATAAATATCCACGTTTCCCTCTTTATGGATTAGACAATAAACCCCATAGTAGGGGAGAGATGGCAAAACTGTAATATGCTTGTTTTCTCTAAATGCACGTGTTCCGGTCACGTCAGTACATGCATATATGATGAAGTATAAGAAGGTGGGCGGGGACAGTGGGATTTGCCCATATTTGCTTCAGACATTTGTGTGTGTTTGGGGGGTTGGGGGGTCCTAGTGGTTTCTGCCATATAGGTTAAAAAAAAGCATGTAAAAAGTGTTTTTCTAATATTTTTTTTTTCCTGAATTCTGTGCACCTGTGTACGCTTATTTTTACACTAACTATTAGCATAGTATCCAGTTTGCTAGATTGTAGGAAACCATAGATGCAGCCTGCTGTATTTATGTAACCCCTGTTCTAATTATGCAGAATTGTGCTTCAGTAGTGAAGAGTAGCAAAAGGTGACAAATAGTGAGACAGAAAAGACACCCACACAGTTGACCAACACAATGTTGCGATCATGCGTCTTTACCGTTAGTCATAACGCTTTTGGTTTCATGACACAGGGGAAACTTGCATATGATTTAAAAAGATCTAAACACGTACATGATTTTATGTGGGAAATCATTAAGAAGTCTGTGATTTAAATCATCGTTGTAGTTTACCTCGAATGAAGGAACGTTACAAATGTGCCGGTTCTCCCCGACGTCGTTATTTATAACAGTTTCATGAGTGTACATGTACTCAGTTATTTTTAAAATGTTATTTAAGCTTCAAACCAGGGCGGTGAGAAAAGTGCTCTTGAAAAGGGTTTTGTTTTTTTTTTTTCCCTGTGGATGATTTCCCCTCAGTTTTGTTATCCACAATTTGGTAATGTTGGGTAAGATTTGAGCAAAGTTTCAATATTATTCACATGGCTTTTGGTTTAGGAGATTTAGATCCTGTGGTCTATATTCTCTGTGTTAACTAAATGAACACAAACTACTGATGGGTCATGAAGTGAGACTATAGTATGGTTATAGTAAAATAGTAATAAAATAATAGCAATCAGAATTAAGTCACTTATAAAGAGCTCTTGTAAACATCTGTTCTGAATTGTGAGATCGCTGCTGCTGCTGGGTTTTGTTTTTTTTTTTATAAAGGACCGCAAGACTTTCTGATTTTTTCACTGAATCTTTTCTGCCATTATGATTTGGCAAGATGTAGTATCAGTATTAGTCAAGAATGTGATGAGAGTGAGTGACCGGGTAAGGTTTTTTTTTTTTCCCCCTTTCCTTTTCCCTTCCGTGTCCCTACAGTTGTCACAGCAGACAAATTAGTGTTTTTGCAAGTGTATGTATATTTTAAGGGCTTTATATGTGTACGTTTGCTCCAAAGCAGGTTTTGCTGAACGCTTACTGCCATCCTGTTTCAGAACATGAGCTGTGGCTCTGTGGTTTTGGTTAGCCACAATTTTATGCACTCACAGTTGTGGGGGTAGGCCTATGGTTTACCAAATCTGGTAAATCTACTAACAAGCCTGGCACTTTGTGTGTGTGTGTGTGTGTGTGTGTGTGTGTGTGTGTGTTGTTTTAACGTAGGAGGAGAGTGGGAGAAAAGGAGAGGGTGTCCTCTGTGACCACTGTATAGTTAAACTCCTATAGTACATGTGTAACAGGTTTATGTGGTATGTGGTGCTAAGAAGAGATAAAAAAATGTATGGTTATTAAGTGTCCATTTATATGAGAGGTTTATCATTTCAGTGTAAGCTTTTTTTCACTGACATACCTAACAAACCTAACCCAACATGTTATTTATGGCTTAAAGCCACAGCACTCATTCCACTCATTCTCTTAACATTTCACCCACATTTAGGCCACATATACCACCACTGGAAATTACTACAAACTGATATCTT